TGGTAAGATCAAGAAGATACCATTTTGTATTCCATTTTCCATGCCATTTTAAGAAAAAGGTTAATTCCTTATGTTGCTCAGACTCTTTAACTCAGTTTAACTTTTACCCCACTAAAGTGTAAACAAATAGAATTTGGAGCTAGCACTTCAGGATAATCAATCATGTAAATAAGTTTTCTTAAGCACATTTTATAGTAAGGTAAGACTATGAGTATATAATGAAGAATATTAGAGACTCCAATATAATTCTTATTCTCAAGCCATTATCTAGAATTCAGCAGTCACTTTTATAAACTATTCCCCACTGTTACTTTGGTTATTTAAAACATCCCAAGAATATCTACAGTTGTAACACAGCAGGCAATACATTTTAGCTACTCTCTCACTTGTGACTGTTGGTAAAATATTCTCTACGGATAACATAAAAATAAAAAGTCCTCTGGAAAACTAATCCAGGGACTTCCCTAATGTCTTCACTAAAGGTAAAATGTTGGTATGATGTAGTATGCACACCCACGCACGCATTCTAGACTGACATAAGTGTATTTCTGTTGATTTTTAAAACATCCAAGTGTACCTACCTTCTTGCTTATCTGCTACACAGATAACCCCACTGAGAAGGAAAAGAATGCACAAAGAATTTGAGAGTCGGGGGCGGGGGGTAGGCAGTTCTCATGATACAGTAATAGGAGTTTGTCTTCCAAATATAGGTTTATGCATCCTGGCAACACATTAGGAAGTTCCCCTGGAGCCTATATTGCCACTGGCTTTAATCAGTATGCTAATAAAGACTAGATAGCTGTGCTATGCAATGATGTGACATATAGAGGAGTGAAGCCCTCATCACTTCTCTCTAGGGAATTTACTTCTACAGGGAGGCTTAGCCTCATACTGCTTAGCAGATACTTTCTAGCTTACTAAGTTTAGGAGAATAACCTCAGCTACAGTACCAAGTTCAAAAAGGAAAAAGGTCATTCTTCCTGTCCCTGCCAGTGCTCCAAGTCCTCAGGATGAAAAAGCAACCAATTCACAAAAAGTCTACTTCTCCCATTACTGCTCCCACTCCCCTAGCTAACAGTTTATTTTTAATTGGTACTGGATTACTCCCTGGCACTGTTGCTAAGGGAGCATCAGTTGCTATAACCTCAGTTGCTATAGTAACTGTATATGTTAAGTGGGGAGCTGTAAGGCTGCTATTAAAGCAATACACATACAAGCATTATGTCTCTTCACACATGTGTAGACCTAACATATCAGTTCCTATATCTATGGGAATATGTTGCAACTGCATCTAGCAATACAGGAGTTTTCCAAATCCTCCATTCCCTCCTTTACTTTTTCCCTCTAAATTCATAGGAAGATAGAAAATGAGAGGCTCTTTGATATGAGCCCATATACTGAAAAAAAGAACAGGACACATAGTTCTCCAGTTGGCATCAAGTTGTGATAGCTTTGCACCACCATGTGGCTCATTGCTGCAAAATTAAATGTGTTTTCTTTTGAATGACAATTGTCATTATGTTGTCCAGAAAACTATGGAAATAATATTGAAGGTAATAATTTAAAGCAGGGCTGGTTCCAGGAGATGGTGAAATTTCACACAACTCACCTTCTCAACTTCAAATGGTTCATTGGGAATACTTTGTCAGCTGATTACTAAAGTTCTACAACAGGCTCTGATTTCGGGGCTGTTCAGTTGTGGGTCTGCTTTCCATTTCCAATCACTATAATGCTGCTCAGTGGCTCTGCCTCTCTTTTTTCTACACACTTTTTAATGCTAACATACACCATACCATATAAAAGGCATAGGACCTATCCTTAGTACAGGACACCAGCTGCACTCTTTTAATATCTCTCTGAGCCTTAAAAGGAAGTAAGCAAACTTTTTACCCCAAAATATTACATTTTTGCCTTTGAGTATTGCCTTTCTGCACTGAAATACACACGCACATACCGCCAAAATATCAGCCTAATTTTCATGGCAATGTAAGGTATAAAAATGGGATGCTAAGTCTCTGCAAGGCTTAGGATACCCTTTCATATTTTAAAATCTCTCAATTGTGCAACATAGAAACATGTCCATTGCAGGGGGTGCAACAAGGTCCTGGCAAGCAGATGTGACATGCAAGCTATGGGTTATATACTCTTCCCTTAAAAAATGTTCATTCTTCCATGATCTGAGAGAATGCAACTGCACTTATCTTGGTACTAACACATCACAGCATTATGGATGACCTTCCTGGAAGAGATGGTATATTCTGCCAGGCAGGTACAATTTACCATTTCTGCTTGCCTGGAAAAAATGAAGGCAACTATGTCAAGTTATGAAATGATAGGAACCAAAGGTAAATTGGCAATTCTATCTTTAGCCACATCTGGGCTTAGAAACAGATTATATTCAATGGAAAGTACTACAGTGGTCTAAAGTTTATAAAAAATATATATTGAAATTGTATTATAGGTGCTCAAAGAGAGGGAGAACTAGTTGCATATTCCTTTAAATAGATACACAATGCATTTGAATCCATATAAACAGATATAGCTGCTTCCCAATTTTCAGTGGCTCAGTTATAGTCTTGCAAGAAAATTAGTTAGTTGCAATCTGTCTACCAGCAGATCAATAGAGGAGGTAGATATGTAAATGTTGGCTCTGCTTATAATGTCAGTGATTTTAAGAAACCAAGTGCTCTATGCAGCAGTAGCTCAATAAGCAATGGAAAAAGACAAATACCTCAAGGAAATAAACATGACTATTTAATTCAATTATTTCATGACTATTGGGTCACTTGGAAAAAGCAAAGAATTAAAATAAAAAAGGGAACCAGTCTGTGTCAGAGAAGACATTTGTTGGCATCTGAGTCACCAGATCAAGATACAGTATGATTCTATCATCTGTGGTCTTTATTTATTTTTAACTTAAACATTATTATTTGAAACTGAACAGTTTTCAATTCATGGCTAGGAAAATCTTAAAAGATATCTATCACTATTTCTGTTGTTACTGAGGTAGGGAATTTCTTTCTTTGTCCAAAAAAAATGAACAAAACTTTTGTGAACTAAGATTTGAACTTCAGTAGCCCAAGTTCCAAGCAAAACTCACACTCAATGCCTTTTATTACTGAAGGCACATAAACCTCAACTGATTTAGGATGGCTTGTCAATTCTCTCCTTAATTTTCTGTTCTCCTGGGAACACATCCTTAAAGTAGAAAATAGGAACATTACATTTGAATGTATACTAACATTTGAAAGGGGTAATCTTGTTTGGCTTGAGATACTTCCACGTGAATAGTACAACCTTGATAGTAAGGTTGCAGAACCTTTATTGGACATTTCATAATTTCTGCCACTGAGGGAGACAGGTGAGAGGACCTGAAACATTTCATGCTGCACAGGCAGCACTGATTAGACAGCTGTCTATGGACAGCCAAATCCTAAAATAAACATGCAGATGTAAGATGTGCCCTCAGTTTTCTCCCCTATAATAGTAACTGACTCTTTTAAAATGCCTGAATATGCAGGATAGAAGTCCTATACCTGACACAGGTCATTAAATATTTGTCTTTCCCAGGTTATTTTTTAATGCATGTTCTCTCATGAGATAAAAAGAAGAAAACCATCCATGACATACTTTCTACTGACGGCAGGTGCAAGGTGTAAGCTACTGTCCCCTAATTAATCATGATAATTAACCTAGCTAAAGACACCACTGGCAAAATGTTCCATATAGTAATGAAAGAAGAATTGTTTAAGGACTCAGAGAGAGGTGGGGGAAAAAACAAGGAAAATGCTGATGTATAGACACAGCAGTACTAAGACCTGGTATAGAATGCCATGGGAAACCACCATCTATGTAATAAGGAGAGTCAAAATCTGCTTTGTCCTACTTTGAAGGTACTCTTCCCTGGAGGCTAGCAATCTTCAAAGACAGATTTCTCTTGCGGAGAACTTATGAAATATTACAAAGTTTCCCAGTGCTTGCCCTAGTTTTACAGTCTCTGACAGAATTTGGTCTTTTTGATGTAGGAGAATGAAGGACAACAGGGTATGGAACAACAAAAATTTGATAGGAGCTGTTACGAATGAAGAATTTTCATGTATGTGTTCATGACACATATCTATAGTTATAGAAATGAATTTCCGAAATAGTCAAATTACCTTCCTCTCTAATCTCACAGGTGTGGCTGAAAACATGCCATCATGTTTACATCAGTTCTTCTGAGGAAGTATT